ACGGGCAAATCGACCATCTGATACTCATTGTCTGTCCGGGAAGGACATCTTATCATTTTTTGTATTTTTTTTTTTTTTTTTTTTTGGCTGTAGAGGGTAGGGATTTGCTTATATCATGACGGGATCCTTGTGCTTTTTCGCTTTTCCAATCTTGTCCGCGTCGTCGGCTGGCAAAAACTTTTTCTGGCCCAAGCGTTTTTTATTGTTGTCTCAAATTTGGAATTATTTTTATTGGGAACTCTGGCACGCACATCGCACAAACACATATATATAGGAATATATATATATATGTGTATGTATCGGAGTGAGTCCATAAAAATCCACTTTCGGTTATGTCGGCGAGTTGTGTAACTGGAAATGGCAAAAGATGGACTTATTGTCATTGAGTAGCGAATGGGGCGCTAAATCAAAAACAACGACCAGAGGGCAATCCGGAATTGGATTGGATTTGATTTGGGGATTCGAAGACCACCATTCAAAATCGGTGGTAGAGGATTGCTTTTTTATTTTGGCTGGAAATTGAAAATGGCCCATGTTCGGCATCCGATTTGCATGCGCCGCTTAAAGTCACATCCTCCCGTTTGATAACCATTATTTATGAGGCCTCTATTCCATTGCAATTCTGGCATATAAATTGCATTAAATATTTACGCTATTGGTGGCGCATATAGTGCGTATCCTGCGTGTTGACTCCTCTGTGCATCCTGTTCAAACAAATCGCAATGGAGCGCTCTATTTGCTCGCCAAATATTTACGCAGTCCGAATGGAACTCATTTAAATCACATTTCGGAGGCTGATCTAAATAGTTGTGAGGCATTCCTTTTTAAACCACAAAATTCAGGGAACATATTGAGCCACCCTCGCTACTTAAGCAAGGGGCTGGCAATTAGTTGGTGAAGCATTGTGCTCGGTAAATCCATCGTAACTCTATTTGCATAAAGTTACACTCATTAAACTGGCGAAACCTTAATGCAGTCCGGGATTATAATTTTAAATCGGTGCAAATGGAAGAGGGGAATCCTTGGAAGTGTCAGTAGTTTTAATTAATACTCAACTTTCCACTTTGACCTCACAGCTTGGGAGTGAATTACATTCATTACAAGTCTCTGGATTTTTTTCCCACTTAAAAAGCTTAAGAGACTGGACCGCACTCGAAGGATTCGTTTATTCATTTTACTTTTGCAGTTCAGCTGTTGATGTGCACACTAAAAAGTCCACTGGCGAATCAGACCGATAAAATAGTTACGATTCATCGAGGCATAAAACCAGCCACCACAGAATAGTTATCTGCCACTATAAACAGTTTGAGGATGTGCCAGGTTCTTAAAAAGAAAACAATTTCAAAAAGCAATACAATAAAAATCCAAATATCAAAGATTTTTGCAGCTTATGATAACAGCCGATAAAATATGTTTTATAAGAAAAGATTTCACTGAGTTACCAATTTAAATCTAATAACCATTATATTTAAAATTTATTAGTATTTCGATATTATAACATTAATTTAGATTATAATACATTTATACATGTAGGTATTTATCGCCTGTAGACTGCACTTTTCAAATTAACAGCACCCTAATGGGGTATAACTGTTGCTAAGGGTCACCCTACCCATTTTGTCTGTGTGTAGCTGACCTCCGACCCCCCGAAAGTGCAGACAAATCGCCCGTGGCAGGTGGTGGTGGCTTTCCAGGAACAAGAATCCTGTCGAACTGCAGCCGCAGTTCTCCTGGGCAAAGGCCAGTTATGCTTTTGCGGTTGTTAGTTTAATTTAGTATAACTTTTAGGGGGCGAAACTGGAAATGAGAGGCTGAAGGGAAAAGGGAAAAGGGGGAGTTGGCATCTGTGAAAGATTGAAAGGCAAATAGCCGGGTGGGAAAAGCTTGACAGAGAGGCCACTTGGCTGTTTTTTTTTTTTTTTTTGAGGTGGCTAGTGTTGAACTCTGGCAACCTGGCATCACAATTAGCAGCTATGAAAAGTTGAAACTTCATTTTCGAGGAGTTCGCACCGCATTTTCCCCCAACTTTTCATCACTGCGGTTGCCGAGTTCTCGGAAGAAGATAATTTAACCAAAAGCCTCGGGCGACAATATACAGATGGATTTCAAGGTATGGGATGTGCCATTTTAGTTTGGAAACCAGAAAAACTGGCAGAAAAACTCTTGCAACCTCAAGCCAAATTGCTCGAATGTTTGAAAGTGCCACGAAATTGTGAGTCATTTCTCCTTTCTCCGAGTGGAATGTGCAACAAAGAAACTAAAATGCCAGATTTTCCCTTCGAGAGGGCGGCTATTTTCCTTTTCCTTTCGGTTACCCGCAACTTGCAACAGGCATAAAGTTATAACCATCAGGATATTTCTGCAGGGCGAAGCCATTTGAAGTTTGTCACTCAAACACGCAATAAAGTGAGGGTGGAGATGGAAGGATACGCCAGGATATGATCTAGTCACGGGGGAAATATGAGTCCCGACCTATTGTGATTTTTGACCCAAGACATTGACTTTGAACACCTGAGAACCACAGGTAGACACAGGCATTAACAAAGTCACCAAATTCTCAGTTTTACGCAAAGGTATACCACTTTCACCTTGGCATTTAAAATGTTAAAAATTTCATTTAACATCACTGTTGGGTTTTTCATTTAATCAGGATAATTTTTTAATAACAACTCAAGTAGTCCTTGACATCTTGAAATGCTTTTATTAACTAACAAACACTTTTTGATTTTAACTAGTCCATTAAAATGTTAAAATATCACTTTGTTAATAAGTGAAGTAAGTGATGTTGCTTGTAATATTTTTTTATAATCAGATTATTATCACAAATATAGTTGATCACTTCAAATTCCTTTAATGATCTTACAAACATTTATTGCTTAAGCCTCCTTAAATAAATCTTATAAATCTTTCTCACAAAAAACAATATGGAAAAATGGCTTTTAAGGGAAAACAAAGCTTGTTGTTTCTGCACTTCAAACAACTTAAAAAGAAACAAGGTTTGCCACTTGTTTATTTTGTGTTCGAATGAGAAAGTCCAAAAAATGTTCCCATTAAAGTGGGATTTCGTTCGAAGTTATTGTCTAGTGTCGACACGAATAATCCTCAGCTTCTAAGCTGCTGCGAATAATCCAGCAAATATTTATCACTAAACAACAATTGAAAACACAATTCAAGAACAAGCTAAGTTTCTCGTTTCTTTTTCCTTTGGTCGACTTGTCAGGGTTTTTGAAATAGGTCGCTGACAGCCGTGTCAGCCAGATAAGAAATGCATATTTAATATTTTTATGCTTCCCCGACTCCCAAAAGCTTAGCTTGTTTTATGACTGCGACGAAATAATCCCGTGATAAAAATGGAAAAAGGAAAGCAGGTTGCTTTTCCGGGACGGCGATTATCGTTGATATCTGGGTAGATGTGTTCGGACTTAGCCGGCATTATGGAAAATCTCGTGTGGAGGAGCACAAACTCAGAGTGAAGTGGGAAAAAAATTAGTCAAGTCAAAGTTCCCGATGCTGGCGATGCTGGCGATGTTTGCGTTCAATCAACGATTCTATTTGCGACACTTTTCCCAGAGCTTTCCACCCCCTCAGTTTCCACGGGCTGTTGAGTATTTGAGTATTTGCCTTTCCATTCAATTCATTGTTGGATGCCACATTGCGGTCCGGCTTCTATTTTCAGCATTTCCATAAAATTTACATTTTTGTTGCCGACTCGAAATCACTGAGCCGTGCTACGTGGTCCACAGTTCGTTTTTCCCCCATGGGTTTTCCTCTCTCTCTCTTTCATAAAAAAAAAAACAAAACAGAAAAAAGAAAAGGGTGCGTATGGCGGAGCTAAATTTAATTTTGTTAATGAGCTCTGCCCGTTTCATCATCTCGCCAATGGGGCCAACCAAAAGCCGTCGACTCAACCCGTTTTTGAGGTGCTGCCAGGAATCCACTTACCAAGTTATGTATGTATATTATGTATGTATGTTTATTTTGGCCTTTATTGTGCCGGATTATTCGGGGAATCGGGATCGGGTCTGCGATTGTGATGGCGATTAGAGCCACGATGGCCCATTGCCGGAAACACTTGAGAACTTTGGCTGGAAGGCCGGCGGGGACTTTGATTAAATGCGCCACTCTTCTGGGCCATTGCTGCTATCATTCCACTCCCACTGCCACACTGCCACATTTACCATTCCCAAAAACCCCAATCTATCCCCAAAACAAAAACAAAAACAGTAACAAGTTGGAGCCGACTGAGACATTAACATTTTAATTGTTCCCGGGTCGCAATGGAGTCGTGGAGCAAGCGGAACAATTGCCAATGAGTGCTCGAATAAAACTTTATGGGGGCAACGGAGGGCGGCCAGGAAATGGCCATTAATATCGGAACCATAAAAGTCCAAACTTTACGCTGGCCTTTATGAACGAACAAATAGCGAGCGTTGATTAGCTACACTTTTGATTTCGCCCGCAAATTCACTCAACGCATTTCTCTCCTCCACATTATGGTTTTATTCCAGGAAATAAACAAAATTAATAAGTGTTGCTTCAGCTATTTAGATATTATTGGTTTTTTTACTCGCAAATAAACACTTCTCAAATGGCTAACAAAATTATTGCATTGGCTAATAATAATTAATCATGTTTCTTAATCATTTGAGCAAAATAAAATATATATTGAATATTTATAATTCATCTGGATTATTTTCAATTCAATAATCAGCAATGGGATGAATATCTCGTTATCCCAAAACCAGTTTTAACATGGAATAAATAATTTCTTAGTAGAATGTCCTCTTTTAAGTATGCAATTATGTCCAAGTTTTGATACCAACAATTGAAGAACTTTAAAGAAATGATTGTGATTTTATTACTTTAAAAAACAAACTAATGATTATGATTTGATTATTTTAAGACTTACGGAACCTTGAGTTCCCCGAAATATCTTTATTCTTTCGGTTTCTTGCTCAACGTTGTAAAATATATTTCTTGAATTATGAATTCACTTGCAGCTGCCTCAGTGGCCGTGTCATCCTGGACATTGGTGGCCATATCCTGCGAACGCTACTACGCCATCTGCCATCCGCTGAGATCTCGAACCTGGCAGACGATCAACCACGCCAACAAGATCATCGCAATGATTTGGCTGGGAAGCCTGATTTGCATGACGCCCATCGCCGCTTTTAGCCAACTGATGCCGACCAGTCGACCAGGTGAGTGTGTTCTGCATAAACAAAACAATCAACATTGTATAGTACAAATATAAAATAAGGAAAGTGCTAAAGAAACTCAATTTATTATATTTTGTATACATGTTTGAGTTCTTTTCATATTTTCAAATAGAAACAAGAAAGATTGTTCATATGACAGCTATATGATATATTCGTCCGATTTTTAAGAAATTTAATGATGCTGATCAAGAATTTATATAATATAATTTATGGTGTCAAAGGTGTCTCCTTTGCTGCGTTGCAAACTTCTGACTGAAATTATGATTCTCTCTGAAAGGGTATAAGAATAAAATTACTTACTACATATTATACGCAAATTAAACATTTGATTTTGTAAAAAATTTTTCTAATAAATTAATAAGCTACCTAAAACTGGTGACTAAATAATGTTAAATAGCACTTTACGAATGAGCTTTGGTTCTATAAATTTTAAGTAGAAAAACAATGGAATAATACACAAATTTAAAAAGTTTTTATATTTGAAACGATTTCGATAGCTGATGGTATTGATGTGGTTGCTTAGTTTGATGGGGTGTTTTTCCCATTTAAACTAACCTTTTTGGTTGAATTGAATTCACTATTCAGTTTCCCATTTCTGATTCTCCGCAGGACTGCGCAAGTGCCGCGAGCAGTGGCCGGCGGACAGCTTGAACTACGAGCGGGCGTACAATCTGTTCCTGGATTTGGCCCTGCTCGTCCTGCCGCTGATGGCGCTCAGCTTCACCTATTTGTTCATCACGCGCACTTTGTACGTGAGCATGCGCAACGAGCGGGCCATGAACTTCGGCAGCAGCGGACCGGAAGTGAGCGCCGCCTCCGTTTCCGCTTCCGCTTCCGGTTCTGCAGCTGGCAATGGCAATGGCAGCCAGCAGATGCCGAGCCATCAGCAACTTCAGCAGCAGCAGCACCACCAGCACTCCCAATTTTACTACGGTGAGTGGTTTTTTACGCACAGTTTTCACATTTTAGTTTCGAGGGTGAAAGGGTTTTGCGCGGCGGAGGTTTATTAGTTGCGACTAAGTCTCGGGGCAGGCGTCCTCCGAGATTAGTTCAACGAGCAGGGGAATAAAAGCCCCAAACTGCGTCACACGCAATTTGCACGGCAAAGTTTGCCACGCACGAGAAGCACCTTTTAAATCGCGAAACTCACTGCTCGGAGGCTCGAAATCGGAGGCTGGCGGAACCAAGAGTTTTCCCAAAAATGAAAGACAATGCCAAACGAGAGCTCTGGGCGTTTTTACACAGTAACAAAAAAATTATTATGAAATTTTACTTAAAGAATAAAAACCAGAAGAAAAAGAAGTGTGGAAGAAACCCAATTTCAAGTATCAATATTTCATAATTTAATGCCAAAAATGAACTCGCTGTGAATATATAATCAATATCTACAGATAAAATAAAAAGAAAGTTGAAGGCCAAATACAAAAATTTAATATTCAACCCTTTTAAAGTGTTTTTCTTTACTGTAAAAAACATTTAAACTCAGCTTTTGAACCTTAAGCTCTGCATTTTACAGCCCATTTTTGTTGCTGTGTAGCTTGTTTTTTTTTCTATGTACTTTCATTTGCATTTAAGAGTACTCCCCGTGGCTAGATGTCCTTTCCAGATGCGAATGCTGCGAATAATCCCCAGATTATGGGCACAGGAATTCCATTCGGCACCCAAGGCAAATCAATTCCTGTGATTCGCCTTTAATGCCACCGACTTAAAGTGCGAATGTCGTCAGCGGGATATAGACACAAATGACTGCCCCTATATATTTATATATAGAACATAGTCCCAGTGGAGAATCTTCGTTGTCGTTGTTGTTCCTTGGTCCTTGAGTCCTTTCGCCTGATAACGTGAGGCGTATGATAAATGCACGCTCACTAAGAGAAGTCATCCGTGGAATCCCCGTGGAAATTACACCCTCAGCCTGCGACAGTCGACACTTTCATCTTTGAGAATGCTCTACACTTGTCCTTGGTTCAATTAACTTGGGGGAGGGAGAAGGTGGAGGAGGGGGAGGGGGAAATGGAAGAGGAGGTAAAGGAACTGCTACTCATTTGCATTAAAGGGTACCGCATCGAATCCCTTTGGCGGAAATGAGAAATGCGCATTAGCATGAAGCGGCAGTGGGAACGTGCTATTATCACAGCTGCGGGGTCATTTGGTCTTTTGCCCACAGAGGTCAACGGAGTGATTCGTTTCCGGGGCATCCTTCTAGTCGCCTGACCGCAGGACACTCTGCGCTGCCGAAAAGGTCAATTTAAGTGCCGTAAATTATGCACGAGACGAGCATTTAAGCGCTCGTTAAATGTCGTTATTACCACCTCCGTCTTACCCCCCAGAATTTTCCAACAGAAAGGGGGTGGGGGGGAGGGTGTAAAGAAAAGCTCCACTCATATTTGCACACATCCCAGCCAGCAACGCTGCTGTGTGACAATAAATTTGATTAAATTTTTAAACTTTTGCCATCGCTTGGCATTTTCACCCTGTCATAAATTGCTGGCCGGGTGGAAAAAAGGCCTGAGTGTGGTTCGCAAAATGTCCTGTCACCGAACACTGTCGTGGCAATTGCCGCATTATTAAAAGCTCTAAATACCCCATCACAACACGGACTGAGAATTCGCATGCTATTAAACACAAACTGCGCGTTTAATGCCTATTTATTTTATGCTCCTCTTAACTATTTTCCAACCGCAAAGCGGCAATAAAACTGCAGAAGGATGTGTTTCGCAATTCGTTGCCATTAAAGTTCAACTCGCTTCATTTTCACTCGATTCCCGTTTAAATTATTTAAATTGTTAGGCAGTTGCATTTTCTATCAGCAATTGTTTGCCATACAATTTAATTCTGAATTCGAAGCTGTTTAAGGACATTGGAAATCACAAATATGCTTTCATCTGCAGATAATTAAATTTAAATGAAGTGCACACAAGACCACTGGCTTTGTGCTTTTGTGCTAACTGAAATGATTTCTAAATAAAAGGTGTCTCATACAATTGTATAATTGTGCCGAAAATTGTTTAAATTAATTAACAATTCAATTTCAAGCAAAATAACACATGCATGGAAACTATTTCACTGAGTGAATTGAATTCGTAGCGCAATTACTAAATTTGTTTGTTGTTTCTTGGTTTTAGAAGCTTGAAAGTCTGTTAATTAACACGAATATACAAGGCACTATTATTTGTGTGGCAAAAGGATAAACTTAATTAAACTCTTCCTTGGCTTAACCTTTCAACTGAAATTGAATTCGGTTTTCCTAATCCCGAGTTCTTTTCTCAAAACGTAACCAAATTCCCCGTCTGCTGGCGGTGAGAAAAGTGAGGGGGGAGATCTGCAACCGCTTTTGATCCTGATTCGCCACAAGGACTCGATGATCCTGCAGGAGAGTGGCCAGAGCCGCCTTCGTTTGGAGCAGACCAAGTCGCATTCCTGGACACATTCGAGGTCCAGCGCCGAAAGCCAAGAACTTACAACCCATTTGTATTTGGTTCAGAAAGCGCTCCGGTTGAAACTGGTTGGGTTGTGGATAAAATTCAGGATCTCTAAAGGGTTCAAATATAAATATAATATAAATTATTCGTCATTTAAACTCATTTGTAAGGGAATACCCACAGGTGAATGGCCTGAACGGGCACCACTAAAACCGTTCCCATTTGGACTTCAAATTCGCCTTTCCAACCAGATTTCTGGGCAGGAATTGCAAAGGATTTGGTGCAGCGTTTCTGCAGGGCTTGCATAGCTGGATGAATTCGAAGGGTTTCGAGAAGAGTGGCTTCCGTATAACGCAGTTTTCCCAGTGCCACTTGATCAAGTAAACCACCATCGTGATTGAAAGCCACTTTATCCAATTCGATTTGAAGTTGTTTCTGTATATCCTCATTTATGGCCAATTCGTAAAGGGCGAATGCCAAAAGCATTGATGATGTCTCGTAACCCTCCAAAAGCAAAGTGGTTGCATGTCCTGCCAGTTCGTCCTTTTCCAAAGTCCTTTTGCTCTCGGAAAGCCATTGGAGGAGGTTATCTCCATGGCTTCTGGCTGCCACCAATTCTCTGAACCAATTCTGCAAGCTTTCGGGTACATATCTACAAAAATAGGTGCCTCATCAGAGATCAGAGTCAATGTTTATAGTGCACAATAAATGGGGTAAAGAAAATATGAAAATGTTGTCAATATAATCATCAATATTATACCCACCTGTGGCCAATAAGTCTTCCCAGTCGAGGGGAATGCAACAAGGCCATAGTCTCCGGCAAACTCCAAACAGTTGGTTGAAAAAGTGGAGCCAGCCACTCCAGCCAGCGACTTTGACTCCCAGTTTTGTCCACTTTTTGGCCACCCAAACAATTAGCATCCAGTCCAAAAACCACGGAGGCAATCACCTGCAAAGTATAGCGGGTGGCAAGATCTTTGGCTTCAAAGTTTTCCGCGGAGGTTTGTTCTCTTAGCAACTGACAAGCCTTGGTTATGTGGGGCAAAGTCTGTCGCACTCGACTTGGCGTAAAGAGAGACACCAAATCGGCTCGAAAGATTCGCCAGCGTTCTCCATTGGCAATGAAGGGATTGTGACTGGCGAGAACATCTCGATGGTGATCCACATTGACAACATTATCCGCACAGTCCACGAAACTATTGCCCACCAGGATTTGGCGCAGGATCTCCTGATCGCGAACCAAAATTGCGGGTTCATTGAATAGCCGATAGAACGCCACGTACTTTAATGTAGGGTTCTGTCTGTATTAAAAAAATAGGTTTACTAACATCATGTTCGTTGTTTTTCAATGTACAAATGTGCAAATAATAGTAATCCAAATTATAAAAAAAACAATATTAAAATATTATTAAATGTGTGTCAGATTTTTATAAGAAAGTATCAAAAAAACATTTATAAAATGGGTCAGCTAAAGTGGCACATTGAATTATATCCAGCTATATCGAAAATTCAAGAGTTACCCAGCTCACCTGTAGATTTTCTCATAAACCTCGCCATAGGAACGTCGAGCCAGGGCAAAGTTCACCATATTTCCCACCAGAGGCCAGCCAAAAGGACCTTTCAATCCCCTCCTTCGCCAGTGGTTTCCGTGCCAGTAGAAAAGGAACAGGAGCAGCAGAGTGGCCACCGAGAGGAGGCTCCAAATCAGTGGCAGCAACATCGACGAGCTTCCAATGCGAAATGCAGTCCCAAATGATTTCTACTTGGCATTTACCTCAAAAGCAGCTGATCTCGAACTTGCGTGTTTCCATTATTCCGGCTCATTAGCTGTATATCAATCAACTGACTTGTGATCTTTCTGTTTAAGTCGTTCAATCACGCAAGATAAAACGCAGCCACAAAACAAAATGTTTGAAAAACTACACTGTTCTGTGAAAATGTTTCAATTTGTTATGCAAAGTTCTCTGTTTTGCTCTCTACAATTAATTTTATTAGTAGGCTTGAAACAATGAATAAATATATGCGATGGGAACTATCGGTAAATAATTATTAGATTAATAGAAAACTCATCAAAACGTGCTATTAGATGTGCGAAATATTATATATGGGAGCTATATGATATAGTTGTCCGATTTTGATCAAATTTAATTCGTAATTTAAGAGTCGTAACAAAACTCTATATTTCAAAAATCATACTTGTCTGATGAAAAACCACGATGTTATAATTTTACTTCCGTTATTTCTATATAGATTTTTCGATCTTTCCTATGACAGCAATAAGATATAGTTGTTCGATTTTTTATGAAAATTTTTTCTTAATATAAGAGTTGTTAAAAAACTTGATATTCAAAAAATCATGCTCATGGGATAAAAAACAACGATGTTATCAATTTATTTCCGATAATTCTATATATATTTTTTGATCTCTCCTATGGCAGTTTTACGATAGAGTTATCCGATTTTGATAAAATTTAATCCGAAATTCAATAGTAGTTAGAAAACGCCATCTGAAAGAATTCAAGTCGATCTAATCAAAAACAAAGGCGTGAGAATTTTTTATTTCATTCTCTCGTATTGGAGCTATCCGATATAGTCGGCCGATCCGGCTCGTTCCGACTTATATACTGCGTGCAATAACTACATACCATTTGGGAAAGTTTCAGCAAGATAGCTTCAAAACTGAGAGACTAGTTTAAAGAGAAACAGACAGACGGACAGACGGACAGACGGACAGACGTACAGACGTATTCTGATTCTACTCGTGATGCTGATCAAGAATATATATACTTTATGGGGTCTGAGGTATCTCCTTCACTGCGTTGCAAACTTCTGACTGAAATTATAATACCCTTTTGCTCTGCAAGGGTATAATAACAATATAGTCAGGAAATTATTTTATTTTATTATACTCTTTTATATTCTTTTTATGCAGCTGATTACACGCACTGTGGCAGCAAACGCAGGCTGATCGGAGGAGGAGGAGGAGGAGGAGGTGGAGGGGGATTCACAGGATCCTGTGAAGGACGAAGGCATTTGTACTGCATGAGGAGTGCCTCCGTGAAGTCGCAGCGCCTGCAGCAGATCAACGGAGGAGGAACTGCATCTGGAGTGGGATCCACCGAGTGCTGCAGTCGCATGCAAAGGATGCGCCACCAAATGCAACAGCAGCAGCAACAACAACAACAGCAGCAAGGATACATGGGCGACACCGAATCCCGGCGAAAGTCGTTGTCGCAACCCAGCCTAAGGATCACGGAGGCGGGCCTGCGAAGGTGAGTAATCCCCACCAGAAGCACTTAGGTGACCTACAAGGTGATAAATCCATCGCAGATCCAACGAAACGAAGAGCTTGGAGAGCAAGAAGAGAGTGGTGAAGATGCTGTTTGTCCTCGTGCTGGAGTTCTTCATCTGCTGGACGCCACTGTACGTGATCAACACGATGACCATGCTCCTTGGACCTGCGGTATACGAGTACGTGGACTACACGGCCATCAGCTTCCTCCAGCTGCTGGCCTACTCCTCCAGCTGCTGCAATCCGATCACCTACTGCTTCATGAACGCCAACTTCCGACGCGCCTTTGTGGACACCTTCAAGGGGATGCGGCTCTGCGATCGGTTGTGTGCTCCATGCTGCTTCTGGCGGAGGAGATCCAAGAACGAAACGAACCTCTCGGTGGCTGGGAACTCGATTGCCTTGGCCAATTCGGTTATGTCGAGCCACACGATTCTGGAGAGTCCGCGGCTCTGAGACCGCAGCCGAAGGCAGCAATTCGCGGAGACGGAGTCACTTTAGTCACGCAGCAATTTGTGATGATGCAATGTAAGAATGCAGTAAAAAAAAATTGATTGTCCCCCCTTTCCACCTCCCCATCCCCTTGGAAGCCCCCTGCTCTTCCCAATTAGTATTTGATAGCGTTATTCAGTGCGAGTTAGTAGGGTGTTCACCTTTGAGTAACTGCAATCAGTCTATTCAAAACACCACACGCTATGGAATAGGGTAAACATCTAATAAAAACTAGGTTACTACTTTTTTGGCTTTGCAGCTTGCACAATGGTTTCAAATTATTATAAATCGTTATTTAAACATTTGAAAAGTTTTTACTCTATTAAAAACTTCTAATTACCAAAAAAAATATTTAATATTTAATACACTCTCTAAACCAATAGCTCGAAGAAGATCAAACTAAATCTCAACTATCCCACGCGTCGTATGAGTAATATTTACTATTTACAATCTTTTAAAACCGTTGTGCATTCTGTGCATAACTATCGTATAGGTGGGGATAATCAGTCAGTCCAATTTAAATTCTGATCATCACTCAACTGATAATAAAAAGGTTTAAACAAATCAAATAACAAAAACATAGGTTTTTGGAGTTCGCACAATGGTTTTAATGGTTAGTGATCCAACTAAAATATTTCATAAAATTCTATTGCCTTAAAAGACATCCAAACCTTCATAAAAACCCTATTTATGCTACCAAAATACCTGACTGTTTCCAAAACAATAGCATAAACACTTCAAAACAGCTCAAATTAAATCGCGACTGTCCTACGTGTCGTATGCGTAATATTAACTATATACAGAACTATACATAATATGAGCTACTCTGCCCATTATGCTGCATCCAAACCTCAACAGAAAAACCTGTATTTGCAAAAATTCAGTTATGGGCCATCCATTTTACCCAAGAATAGAAATTCCACAGTTTTGTGGAAGGTTTCAACGAATCAAGAAGCATTTGACAGCAGGCTGATTTTACAGGGTAGACAGGGACTCCAAACGGAATTCTCTCATTCAAAAAAGGTTGTCAGACGGAGCTTGTGGAGTGCCAGCCACTCCAAGTCCAAAAATAAATTAAGAAACCCGCAACCCAAACGAAAATTGAAGTGGGTCCGGGTCGAAAATCCAATTTTAAGTAGATCAATGTAGCGAGAAAATGCATAACATGTAAATTGGCAAATCCTAGAATAACGAATAAATAATAAACATATATTTTCTGCTCACACACACACACACACGCACTCACACATGAAAACTCTTCAACGAACTTGGCAATTGCAATTATTATGATATTTATATAAGCGTATAGATCTCAGTGTTTTAATGTAAATAAGATGACATCAAATCTAAAATAAAACGACATTTGAATTCGAGTTCACCAAAAATGCCAGGTGTTGTATACTTTTGGGCGGCTGCTTTTGGCTCTCCAAGTTGGCCAGGAAATCCAGTTTATAGCCAATGTCAGAGGCTAATTGATTACCTGCCTGTTTGTCTTCAAGCGGCATTAGTTCCTGTGGCAAAGGCGATGCAAATCCCCCGCTTTGTTGGCCATTTGCTGCTAATGAGTTGGCCATTTCAGTCAGCTGGTTATTGAGCTGTCAGCTGCAGAAAGTGGAGACCGGAGTCGGGAGTCCGGAAGTCACATCTCCACCCATAAATAAGGATAATGGTGCACGGGAAAGGCGGCGGAGGTGCAGAGCCCGGATCGATAGTCTCGATAGGCTGGGATAAATCAATTGCCACTCTTGAGGACAGCAAATGAATTGCTCTGCGGCCGGAGAACCCTGATTGATGAACTACGATTTGAAGGGTGATGGTGCGGCAAAATGACGGGGAATATCCGTAGCGAATTTCACCTGTTCTGCAATCACGGTGCTCTGCGGTCAGCCAGGCAATCACTCATGATTGCCGAATGCCTAATTGCTTGTGGGCCAACAAGCCAGCCAACCGGCCAACAAGCAAGGTGCAACTGCAGATGTAATCGCCTGATGAGTTTCGGGTTTCAGGTTTCAGGTATTAGGTTTTATGAAGCAACACACACCCTTTCAGGGAAAAGGACCTCCTTTGTTTTTGCTACGTGACAGTTGAAGCAGCAGCCATTAAACGTAATAAAGGGAACACCATTTGGTACTATATATCTATCCATCTGACATTCGGGCCATGTTTTGGGTTCAGTGCGAGCTTCATTTGGATCATGGTCAACTGGCTTCTACGCCTTTCGGGTCACGTATTCCTCTCCGGCGATCGGAGGTTGGCCAACTACACAACAGGCGGCTCCTAATAAACAACAGGCATTATTCCCCCGAAGTTTATAAGGTATTTATTGTTGTGCCAACTGCCATCGAGGAGGGACACTGATGGGGCTGTAAATCGCAGATGACTGCGCCTCCACTCCAATCCCATTTCCATTCCCCAATCCCCAATCCCCATTCACATTCCCCTTTCTCTGTTGGATTCCTGGGAGCAATTTCATTGATGTACTCCAACTGGGGAAGCTGTTTGAGAAATGAATGTCTCTAGCGGAGAGCAATCTCCTTGTTGCTAAGCCCCTGTAACAGATTGCCCGACTTAATCCGATTTATTAAACGAATAAAAATATTGACAGCAGATACTTCCTCGACCGCACTGTTTTTGCTTTCATTTTATTTATTTTTGTTTTTTTTTTTTTTGAAATTTTAGTCGCTTTGCGGATTGGCCGAATGGGATAAAACGATTGCTCAGTCAATTTATATTGTTTGGGATATTTTCATTATAATTTATTTCAAATAAAAGAAAGGAATTCAAACAGTTTATTAGAGATTAACAGAGAGTAGAACCACAAAGGCTGAGTTCATTACTATATAAAATAGAAGCTATAGGCTACTTCATTATTATTTCCTATGAATTAGGACTTACACTACCCATTTTCAAAGGTAAACCAGTTTAGAATCTGGTATTATTCGGACACAAATGAGGGGAAAAATTGGAACAGAGATTAATAGAAAATGCCAGCATTATCTCATGGAGGTGTTCAACCTAGAGCACATCGATCAAATTCGTCTGACAGGCCGTTCAATAATTAATGGGGGTTAGCAAACCGCTGATGGTTTTGTAAACAAATATTTTATAACAAATAAGATGGAAAATACGTTCTTAAATTAACAAATGCTCATTTAATGTAATGTGGATGCAGAAGAAGTCTTTGTTCGCTTCACATAAGTCACTCCATCGCCACGTGTTGTATAATGAATTCCAGAGAACCTTTTAAACTCCGGCCAAACTCTCGTTTTTCATAATTACGCCGGAGTGCTTTGTTCTCCTTTCGCGCCTCCATTTGTTGTTATTTTGTCACTGGTGTCACCGTGGACCTTCCACATCCGATTTGGCCAACTCCAGGGACAATGGAACCGCTCCACACGTGCCCGCCTGCCCGAAAGTACAAAGCCCAAATGAAATTACGAGCACGAAGGCAGCGATGTGATTATGCAACCGCGTCGCAGTTTCGAAATTTTGGAAATCCATGCCATCCAGCAGGTCAATGCCTGCGCCGATTGCCCTTCGCAATCGATGGACTCCAGGATGGAGATCTCTTCTCAACCTTCGGGGGAGCCGACCTAATCGGACCCTCGAACATGCAGACACTAATCGCCAAAGTCGGCCACAATCGAATCGCAGCTAATTGAGCTTGGAGCTTAGGTGTCTGGCATTTGCTATTTGGAATTTGGTATCTCATGTCTGGCTTTGGGTTTGCATTTGAGTATGGGCTTGGGTTTGGGCTTAGGTTTGGTACTCCGCACATATAGGGCTGCTCCAACCCACTTCGACCTTGACCAGGTTTCGATTGGTTTTTTTTTTTTTTGTTTTTTGTTTTTTTTGGTTGTATTTTTGTATTTTTTGGGTTGCCTTAGTTGATTTTCTCTTCTTTTTAACGGTGAAGGCGAGTGCAAAGACGGATTTGCGCAATGCACACACGCCCTTTTTGACCGAAAATTATACAATTGGCGGTCCGTTTACTTAACGGACCGCAGTTGAAACGGGTTTCGAATTGTATATTAATTATGCTGTTTATCTGCCCGAATTTCGAAATGCTGCTCGCCAGTATCTACTATACTATACGATATCGTATTGGTTTTTTTTTCATTTTATTTTATTTTTATTTATTTAAGGGGGAGAGAAGTTTTGCGACAGCAAAGTGTTCATCTGACCTTCGGACAAGCGAAATTGCCAATGGAGAGACGTGTATAGTTGCCTTTATATTTTTTTTATATATTATATATGTGCACTCTACCCATTATTTGTCGTCTTTGATCCATGAATTCCGAGTCCGAGTGCTTGTCACTTGAAAAATTCGGTGAAAGTTTTCAGGCCTACAAGTATTTAACCAGATGCCACACTACCTGCCTGCAAAGGTGTGGCATTGCATAAAGGTTCGAGGGAGTGGAGTGGAGTGGAGGCCAAGTCGGTTGGGGAAGAACCCCTGCCCCGCCACAGCGCCCCCTGTCGGGCGGAAAGCGTAACTAGTGAAGCGGACGTTCTGCAGCCGAGATCAGAACCTGTAGAACGTGACATTATACACGTGCAATAAGCTCTCCAACGATCTCCTCCCTTCAACCGATTGAAAACAGATTAACAAATAATATAATACAATTCTTTAACCTTATTTAAAAATATTCAATTCCTTAGCTTTTTTCCGCATTATAAATAAAGAGTTGTTTAATGTTATTTAAATGTTTAAACATTAGTAAACATTCAGCTCGAATTTTCAAAGTTACTTCAAAATGTTTTCCAGTTAAGGAATTTCAGTTTTATTGAAATAGACAGTTATCTTTGGATTAATTTACGTTTGTAATTTGCGAATGGAATCTGCAGTTGAGCTGTTTACCGCCTATGGAATTCAATTCAATTCCTTTTTCGTTTGTGTATTTATTTATTTTGATGTTGCTATTGACAGAGAGTTGTAAAGTTAAATTTAAAATTGAAAAGAAATTCCAATAAATAGTTTCTCTAATATTTTGCTTACCACCCAATCCTCTTAAATGGTTAAAACCAAC